CCCCAAAACCCCAAAATCCCAAAACCCCAAAACCCCAAAACCCCAAAACCCCTCGAAATACTGCAGAGATTGAAACCATTAAAAAATAACAAAGCCTGAATAGCCCAAAAACTAATGAAGGCATTAACAGAATTCATGAACCAGTTTTAGATTAGAAATATGCTAAAGAATAGGACAAGATAGTTGACCTGAAGGAGGATTAAGGCTACAGAAGATTGTTGAGTTAGATTATTGTAGTATTAATGAGAAGGAGAAATAGTATTAGAAGTATTGAAAATGGGGAATCGAGGGAATATAAGGAATAGGAACCAAATTTTATAAACATAGTTATCCTGAGATTCGTAGTGCCTCTTTATCAGATATTTGGGGATGTTTACTGTTTGAATTACTGCTAGTCATGTAGATAAAGAAGATCACAAACAGAATTTGAATAGATCCCATGATGATTCAGGCATAATCGAATCCTACCATCATATAAATATTCGGGCTAATCAAGGGGCCAATAAAGTTACCTATCAAATTCATTGATCCTTTTACACCTCCAAAGTATCCTCCTGCTTCTTTGCGAGAGACCCCTTTTGCTTCTCCAGCATTCATCAGCTCTGTTTTGGTGTACATTGTAGCGAAAGTGTTACCACCAATCACAGAGTACCCGTTCAAAGAAAGGCCAAAAATGATAAGGAGGATATAATTGGCTCCAATGAATGCACCATGAGCTATAAAACAAAATCCAAAGAACCCTGCAAAAAATCCCGAGATAATTAAGGTCTTCTTATTAGCTATAATTTCAAGAACTCCTCCCAAGAATCCAAAGACTGAATAACTTAGTCACAAAAAGATATAGATATACCCAGTTGTGTCAGCATAAATACCCATATCAAGCATCTTAAGTGCAAAAATAGGATCCAAATATCAGAAAACAACGTTTGAAAGAAGAATTGACATGCATCCAATCTTCACAGTCTATACAGTCAAAAAATATTAGCTTACAGGAATACTAAGTAAGAACTTCAAATCTAGTTGATATTGAAAAGGTGGAAAAGATTCTTCGTCATTCGTTTCTATCAAGGCTTCGTGCAATTCAGTAGGCTTTTCCTCAACAATATTTAAAGTTCCTGAAATGTACATTATGAACGCTAATAACACAAAGCTTCCAAATAACACAAAGTATGGTAGGAAGTAGCCACCAATTGAGAACAGGTATGGTCCAGCTAGTAGTGAGAGAGATCCGCCGACACCAGAGGTTGCAGATCATGTTCTTGCATATCTATCGAATTCGGATGGTGCTAGTTCTTGTGAAGCGACTCCGTACACCATTCATTGTATTAAACCAAAGGACCACCCTTCAAGGCATCTGTTAAGGATAATAACCACTGTGAATATGTATTTGTCATCAATAAAGGACAGATAAGCATATATAAGATGAGAAAGACCCTAAATTATTACCAATGAGCCAACTTACCAGTCCTAGAAGGCCTGAATAGACAAAGAATTTTGCTCCTTTAGCTGCCAGATATTTTCCTCCGTAAATAGAACCAAGAAAGCCTGCGAATGAGAAGATTCTATAGACATTATTAGCCTGGTTAATGGCAAGTGCATTCTTTCAAAGTAAATATGGGATAGCATATTTATATTATCCAAGAAACTAAATACAAACCAAAAAGCAAGGCTAAGCTTTGCTTGACTTACCAAAAGACTATAGAATTAAGTGCAGTGGGTACTCCCTTCTCCTTCATCTGATATGGCATGATAGGAGCAATAATAGTCAGAGTTGCGCATGCCAAGAGGTAGCATGCCAGAAATAGTACATATCTCTTCTCAAAAGCCTTCCTGTCTTTCATCTTTGTTTTTGATTCTAATAGTAAGATTTGGAGTTCGAGTTTATAAGGGGTTTTGGGGTTTTGGGGTTTTGGGGTTTTGGGG